CATGCTGGAGGTGGTGGCAGGAGATGACAAGACGAGGAATGGGAAGGTCTGACATAGAACGAATCAGTGGTTCTGGAAATCTGGGAATTCTCAAACTCCTTTAAGAATGATTAGAAGAAGGTGGACTCACTGCAATTTGGCATCTGATTTCACGGGCTTTACCAACTGCTTGATTGGTGTCCATCAGGCAAAGCAAAGTAAACCCCTAGAAATTCACTGCAATTCATGCAGTTCACGTGGCCCACCCACTCATCTCACCCGCCCCCGGCCATCTCTTCATGCATCCATCCAGCTGCCCTGCCATCTCTCTCTCTTCGTCCACCTATCCCCCGATCGTTATCTCACCCATCTGCCTTGCTTATCCAGCTGTCTCTACCCTCTGCCCCCATCCAGCATTCCACCCCCCATCAATCCATCCATCCCTCTCCCATCCCACCTACTCATCTTCTCCACCCAGCACCCTCCATTCAGCCAACTATCCCTCCTTCCCTACTGTGTCCATTCATCCATCTGTTCAGTATCCTTATTCGCCCAACCGTCTCCCAGTCCATCCACCCACCCATCCATCGAACCATCTCTAAAGCCACCTGTCCCTCCTTAATTGGATTCTTCTGGGTCTCGGTACACCTTTCCTTCAGAGACTGTTCCTTGCTAACACCAGGGTGGATCAGGTTTGGGCTTAGGGAAGAGTCTGCCCCACATCTGTCTGATTTCCCTTGGCACCCCTCCCTCCACCAGCATCCTCATGAATATCCCGATTCTTGTGCCCACCCACATGCATCAGATCTGTCACCCTCCCCCCCAGTATGAGGCCTCTACAATTCCTCCACGTGCCCCCTCCGCCTGCACATAATTGAGGTTGTAGAGACAAAAGGCTTTTATGTTGGGATGCTTCTGCGCCTTGCTCCAGCAGTGTTTTGCCCAGTGAGAAGCGTAATTTAAAGCAGTTTTTTGGTGATACTAGCTTTCATCAAACACTTAACCGTTTGTGGTTTAGCACATTATCTATTTAATCTTCCCTGTAATTCTCTGAAGCACCCGGGTGTCTTAGCTGCAAATTCGAGTCCCATCTTTTTTACTTAACTTGGCATGTGACCTCCCTCTGCGTCTGTTTTCTCATCTACAAAATGAGGACAACAGCACCCGCCTCCTTAGGAGCGTCGTACAGGTTCAGTGAGCGTGTTTTCGCTTCCCAGATGTGTTTGAACCTCTAACTCGAGTCATTGTTCTAATCACAGATCCCCAGGATCTAGTCCCAACCTAGTAAATTAGAACCTCCAGGACAGGAGCCTAGGAATCTGAATTTTTAGCAATCGGCTGACTAACAGCGAAAAAGTTGAGCTGTGTTGAGTACTAACCACGTATTAGGAGCTTACAGTCACTTTAAGTGAACTTATTCGCTGCGAGTCCTCACAACACCCTTAAATAAGGTAGGGATGGGGCCTGGCACGGTGGCTCATGCCTGTAATCCTAGCACTCTGGGAGGCCGAGGCAGGTGGATTGCTCAAGGTCAGGAGTTCGAGATCAGCCTGAGCAAGAGCGAGACCCCGTCTCTACTAAAAATAGAAAGAAATTATCTGGACAACTAAAAATATATATATAGAAAAAATTAGCCTGGCATGGTGGCGCATGCCTGTAGTCCCAGCTACTCGGGAGGCTGAGGCAGGAGGATCGCTTGAGCCCAGGAGTTTGAGGTTGCTGTGAGCTAGGCTGATGCCACGGCACTCTAGCCAGGGCAACAGAGCCAGACTCTGTCTCAAAAAAAAAAAAAAAAAAAAAAGGTGAGGATGGTTTTTAATCCTCACTTTAGAGACGGAGGAACAGGCATAGAGCAGAACAGGGACTTGCCCCGTCGCACGGCTGGGAAGGGGCAGAGCGGGGACTCACTCGAGTCCACACAGCCTGGCTCAAGTCTGTGCTCTTCAATTTGTATATCCCGTCCCTGGTGTTCTTGCCACTGGGGATACAAGAGGAACCCTGCCTTGCCCGCCTGATGTTTGTAGCACGGTGCTCCGTGGGCCCGGGGGGTTCTGCTGCTTAGCTGAGGATGGTGGCCAGCACGTGCCTGGCTCTGTAAGCGTTAGCTGCTCACTGCTCTTACTCATTGTTTACTGCTGGCTACTGTGCGCCAGGGCCTGGGCTGAGTCCTGGGGGCCCTATAGTGGCCGAGGTGGACTCCTCAGCCTGAAGTGATGGAGGACTCCGTGGTTACAGCCTCCGAAGGTCAGGACCCAGGCCGGCCTTCCCCTCCTCCGTCCCCAGCTGCACATTCCCAGCCGCCTCCAGCTGCACATTCCCTGCTGAAGGAAAGTTCCCAGCCTGGCCCGGGCTCCCAGCAGCGCCGGAATTCCCGGTATTCGAGGAGGCAGGGAGGGAGAAGGGGCTGTCTCCTCCAAGGCCTGGAGTGGGGAAGGAGAGGCGAGCCCCCTCTCCAGATGTGTCCCAGCTGTGGCTCTGGGAGGGAGCCAGGAGCCTCAATAAGGGGGTCTGTGGACCCTCTGGGAGAACCATGGGCGCCAGGCCCGCCTCTGTCTGCTCCTCCTGGCGTCCATGAATTCCATTCCTCCCTCCGGCCCAACTCCTACCTCGGCTTTGTGGCCCCAGTTCCACCGCCTCCTCAGGAGTATCTTTCTTGCTAGCCTGCCACAGTTGACAGCCCAATCCTCTTTAGAGCTACAGCTCAATCAGGCTCAAAAAGGATAAGGGTGGTGCCCGCTGCTCTCTGGGACGTTCGGGTTAATGCCAGCTAAACCCAGTTAACCCGAGTTAACTCTGGCTCCAGTGCAGAACTTGGCAAGCTGCAGAACATTTTGCTAGCAGGGGTTTTCTCAGATAACATGGGGACGCCCGCTCACCAAGCTCACAGGGATGTAGATACCTCCAACAGCACAGCCTCACACCTAGTTGGTGCACCATGAACCCCTCTCCTTTACTTTTGTGTGTCCTCCAAGGCACAGCTGTCCCATACGACTTTCCTCCATGATGGAGTTGTTCTGTGGTCAGTGCTGCCCGGTGTGGCAGCCACATGGCCTCTGAGCACTCGAAGCGGGGCTATTGTATCAAGTAGGGTGGATATATACAAAAAGGGCAAGTGCAAACGGAAAGTCTCAAGTTGTAAAACTTTCTCCCTCAATCAACATTCAAGCGCAGCTCTTCCCGACAGGCTGCTGACTGCCGGCGTTGGAAGTAGAGATTACCCCAGCTACAGTAAGTCCTCGCTTTACATCGATGGGTTTTTGGAAACTGTGACTTTAAGTGAAAATTCGTATAAAGAAACCACTTTTTCCTTCGTTATGATGAAACCAGACTGAAGGAAACCACTGTTCTCCTAGGACCTGTTGTTCATGTTTTGCCTAAAGTTGCAGTTTCCAAGAATCTATGCATGACATCAAGTGAGGACTTCTTGCCCAACTCCCACTCCAGCAGCAGCAGTTTTTCCGTTGTTTGTGACTTCTTGGGAAAGGGAAATGGGCTGTGGTCACCGCAATGCCCCCAGATCAGCAGAGGGGTTCGAGGGGAGCGAGTGACAAATGAGATAAACGTCAGAAAACGAAGTCAACAAGACATGGTCTCCCAGCTTACTTTCTACGCCAGCAGATACTGGCTCAGATGTCATCCCTCCCAAGGAGCTTGGGCCACTTGACCTCTCCAGGCTAGGTCAAGTACCTCTTGTGGGTCCCACAGCCCCCTCAGCTTTTCCCATAAGTGGGGTACCCTGAGCACTCTCGCCAAATTGAGGGCCACATGGCAGGGATGGGGGATCTGCGGCAGATCTGTGGCAGCCTAACACGGCGCCAAGAACCTGGGCTCTTCCACAACCCAAATGCCTGTCTGAATCCCACTTTTTTATTGTTTCAGCCTATTACGGGGGTACAAATGTTTAGGTTACATCCATGGCCTTTGCCCCACCCAAGTCAGAGCTTCAAGTTGCACTGCACCCATTAGGTGTGAATATACCCATCCCCCCTACCCCACTCCCACCTGCCCGACACCCAATGAATGTTACTAGTATATGTGCACTTAAGTGCTGGTCAGCTAATACCAATTTGATGGTGAGTACATGTAGTGCTTTGAACGCCACTTCTTTCTGTGTGCCCCTGGGCCAGCTACTTCCTGGTACCTTTCATTTCCTCTTCTACAAAATGTGGGGAAACACCTTAGGTGACTTACTCCACAAGCAGCAGTTTACTTTTAGGTATTCCCTACAACCACACCAGTGCTGTTCCACACCACTGTCGACCACGGAAACACGCCGTACAGCCTGGCGCGGCAGCCTCTGGCAGCAGCTGAGCGCCCGCTATACACTGGCTCTTATCACACAGCAGGCACAACAGATGGACAAGTCCTTAGACCTCGCAAAGAGAAAGCTGCCACGCTGAGCACAATGGGGACCTGCTTTAAGGAGGACAGGGTAGGCCTTTCACCAGGAGGTACTGTTGACACCCAAACGATGAAGCCAGTCATGGGAATGACAAACAAAGACCCTGATGGGAAAGAGCAGAAATGAAGGTTGACATGGCCTGGCTAGTGACTGAAGATGGGGGATTTCTTAAACCTGGGGGTTCCCTTCCCCCCCCAGGTCTTAGTAATACCTACAGCACAGGATGGCATTAAAAAATATTCTCTCAATGTAAGCATCGCCCTCAGTTGCCGACTTCACAGACTCCACCCAGGTAGTCTCGTTGTCCTTGAATGAAAGATTACTGATCTTAACCATTTCCTCCGCTCTTCCCTGACGTGCCATTGAAACGGCAGCAAAGGGATTGAAACAACAAACAAACCTGCAAGGACAACTCATACCCACCAAGGTCTGCCTACACGCCGGACTCCAACGGAATAAGAGGAGAGAGACTCCCCACCTGCCGCCCCGACGCGACCACACTAGCCCAGGGCGATCAGTTCTGGGAAGGGTTGAAATCCAGACTGGCAATAGGCTGAGGGTTCTTCCCGTGTTTCGTCTGGTAAAAGACCCACTACCACAGAAGACCGCAACACAGTCCTTAAAACCTTAAAATCCTACAAGCAATTTTTATTATATAGGTGAACCCCGATCCTCGTGATGGGCTTATCGGTAAGATTTCTGGTAGCGAGCACGGGCACCAGGGCCTCCAAACTTTTTGGATTCACAGCGACGGGGGTCAGCTACCAGCAGGGTCCGATCATACTGGATAAGGATGTCTTTGATCTCCTTCTTGGAAGCCTCATCCACATCTGGAGATGACAGTAGGAGTAGAGATTGAGATAATCACACGAAAGTCCTTGACTTGGTCCCCACAGACCCGCCCATCCAAAGGCAAGGACCCACTCCCACTCACATTTCTGGTAATAGGCCACCAGGGCTTTGGAGATGGACTGCCGGATAGCTGCAAGGGACACGATAAAAGGGTACATGAGCTTTGTGAAGGCCAAAGACTAGGGCCCTGCTGCCAGAGCAGTTCCTGGGACTCACCATAAATCTGGGCCACATGACCACCACCCTTCACACGGACACGGATGTCCACACCAGCGAACCGCTCCTTGCCCAGAAGCAGAACAGGTTCCAGTAGCTAGAGGAATAAGGAGTATGAGTAAGGTTTTAAGCCACCATCTGGGCAGCGTAGCCATCTCGCTAGGCATTCCTCTATTCTGTGTGGCTTCCACCACCACCAGCCAGGGGAGAAGGAAAGATTTAAAGAAGCCAAACAAGAGACTGTTGAATTGACAAGAAAGGCAACGTGATCTGGGCTCCCTCCTACTTATACCCCTCTCCGAACCTCAGATTCTCCATCTCTAAGACTGGTTCTTAGAATACTGAACAGTAAGGAACAATTCTAATGCAACCACTAAGGCTGTTTCATTCAGTAGAAAGCCACTCCTGGGCTGTTCAGGTGTCTTTTTTGGGTTCCCCACTTGAGCTTTCTGCCCTTTGAGCCTCACACCAATTCTCAGAGAAATTATAATTACATTACAACCTGTGCTATGTTCTTCCCTTCCCAGCTCTAGGTCTTTTGGCAGTGCCTCTGCCTTTTTTTTTTTTTGCTTTTTTAAGAAACGGTGTCTCCCTATGTTGCCCAAGCTAGTCTCAAACTGCTGCCTCAGCCTCACTAGCTGGGACCAAAGGCCAGTGTCACTGCACCCAGCTTAGACAGTTCTGCTTCGCCGACTTTCAGTCTCATCTCACAGGTCTCCCTCCGACTCCTTTTGGAAGCCTTTGCTGGGATCCACATCCCCGCCCTGACTACTTTAGATCAGTTTCTGGTACTCGGTCCAGTCCATCTCCCCCACTAGACTGGGAGTTCCACGAGGGGCCATCTGGGTCACTGCTGTGTCTGTGTCCCCCAAACTCACCACAGGGTATACACATAAGTCCTTCAAATAAACTGACAACCAATAACAATAAATCGCGTTATTCAACATCTGCTACACAAAGGGTTGTTTCTTATTAAATTCTAACTGACCCCGCAACATAGATACTCTTTCCTTTTAAAAGCAACAGGCTTTAAGAAGAATTGAATACATCTTCATACGTGTCAAGAAGCTTACAAAAACAACCTTAACTTACTCTCACAACAATGCTTCAGGACAGAAAATGTGACCATTTCACAGATGGTGAACCCACACCATCTGTAAAATGGTCACTTGCTTGAAATAACATAGGTAGAAGCAGAAATCAGACCCTGGACCCTCCACTCTGAGCCAAAGAAACCGAGAGGCCCAAACAGGGAGCTAAGGAAGCCCTTTTCACAGGCAAAAATTTAAACAGGCCCAAATTCAAGCTCTTTTAACACTTACCGAGCACCTACAGCATCCACAACCTGTTTTAGACACTTGAGATTTATCTCAAACAAAACACTAATTCCTGTTCTCAGAAAATCTATACTCTACGAGTGAAAACACACCATCAGGTCACATAAACTAGTGTTCCCCGTGCTACCTGGGTCCCTACAGTTGGGTGGGCTTCCAAATCACCCACGTTTCAAGGCAACCCTTTAATGTTCGGTATCTGTGTTTTCAGTTTCTTAACTCAGTTTTTACATCTTCTGAATCCCCAGCCCAGCTCTATTGCCAAATATCCCACCTTTCTACCCCCAACTCAGCTTCTAAACATCCCATTGTTAACACCAGCTCTCTCAGCTTCCAAGAGCTACATCTCCGTCTCCAAGAGTCCTCCACTCAACGCCAGTCCCCGATCCCAGCACCTTGTATTGCAGCGTGCGTGGCTCAATCATCTCCAGGGGCCGCCCGTTCACCTTGATGAGGCCGTTGCCGCGTTTGCAGTGCGCCACGGCTGTGGCCGTTTTCTGTGGAAACACGAAAAACAGCGGGGCCGCGTGAGATGGGAGCGGGCCCCGGCTCCCAGGCCGACCCCAGATTCCCGCCCATCGGCTTTTCCCAGACCCTGGTCTTTAGCGACTCCTCCCACCCGACGTCCGGCCTACCTTGCGTCCGAAGACCTGCACGGACTGCAACGGGCCCTTGGACGGCATGGTTAATACGGGCGTGGACTAAAGATCCTCACCGCGCGGCTCCACAACCGGAAAAGGAAAGCTCAGGGCTAACCAGGCCGCTTTTCAGGGTCTGCGCAGGCGCCCTGAGCGCCGCGTCGCGACGGGATGGAGCTTTACGGCTCGCGTTGTAGCTAGGGGGCGGGGCCTCTGATCCGCGGCGGGAAGGCCGCCGGGAGCTCACAGAGGGCGGGACCTGGGAGGCGGAAGTGGCGGGACCTGAGGAGTGCAGGGTGGAGACAGAGGACAACCTTGTGGCGGACGGACGTGTGGCGAACAGCCTCGGTGGTTGTTGGCTGTCGTTTCATCCCGGCTCTTTAGTAATATCAATATAATCGATTCTGACCCTCGCGCCACCTGTAATCTTTCTCCCCTCTAGATTCCCTCCTCTCAGAATCCCTCCGTCAGAATCTTCCCTCCCGGGTCCACTGCAAGAAATCTGGCGGGATTCCCAGAATCCGGTCCCCCCTATAACCCAACTCCTTCGAGAGTCCTCTCCCGGAATCCTTTCTTCCCAGAGCCCCCTTCCCAAGAATCTTCATCAGAATTTGCTTCCTTTCTGAGTCTCAGAATGTCCGTCCCCAAATGCCCCTCTTCAGAGTCCTCGCCCTAGACTCCTTTTTCCCTGACTCGCTCTCCACTCAGGGTCCACTTCACCCCAGTCAGCCTCTCCAGAATCTTCCTCTCCTCAGGACCCACCACTCCTGGAATCTCCCTCCTTCAGAATCTCCCTCTCCCAGCAAATCCCAGAACACCCACCCCCAGAGTCCCCTTTCACAAAATCGTCCTCTCTCAGAGACCCCTCCCTCAAAATCTACCTTTCCCCAGAACTTCCTTCCCTTCAGAGACTCCTGCCAAGCAACTGCCTCCCCTGGAATTTTCCTCCCCTTAGAATCCCCCTCTCCTCAGAGTCCTTCCCCCAGAATTCCCCTCTTCAGGGCCCCTACCCTAAGATTTCTTTCTCCTGAATCCCCCAAATCATCTCTTTACTCTCTCCAATGTCACCCTCCAAGCTAAGCTCCTCCCCACTGAATTCTCCATCCTCAGCCCCCAGTCCCATCTGAGGAACCCCAGGATTGTTCCGTTTCCTCCCCAGATGCCCCCCCCAAGATTCTTCCCAGCCAAGAGGCTCCTCTCTTAGGGCCGGAAGGAGCCCACAGGTGCCTCAGTTTCTCTGGCAGCACAGGGTCTGGGGTCCAAGGTTCAAAGGGGCGTGGTGGCCACAGAGGGTGGAGACTGGGTGGAGACTGGAGGGCAAGTCTGGGGCCACAGAGAAGAGCCTCCAGCCCAGAGTCCAGCTCCAAAAGGGTGAGACAGGGAGAGGGGCTATGGGATGGAAGGAGGGAGCACCCAGAGGCAGATCTGGGGGGACACAGACACAGCACAAGAGAGAGGTAGGCACACATGGAGAGGGAAAGACAAAGGGACCGAGGGAGAAGAGAAGGAGAAAAAAGAGTGACTGGAGTAGTCAGAGATGGACCCAGAAAACACAAGCCCGGTGACAGATTCAGAGGCAGAGAGGTCAACCCTCAGAGGGAAAAAAAGACAGATACAGGCTAGCACAAAGTTTCTAAAATACTTGAGACAGAAATAGAAATGGAAACGAGCAGAGAACCCCCCAAATATGAACCTGCAAACATGGGTTATGCCTAGCACAGGCGTTTCCCAATGAGCAGACAGACCACAGGACACGCACACTCTGTTCTGTCTGGGCCTGTTGCGGGGAGGGGGGCAGGGTTCAAGTTCTCCAGTCTCTCCAGACTGACCTTCACACCCTTGCTCAGTCTCGTTTCTTCCCTGAGCTTGGGGGTCAGGGAACCCTCTGACCTAAGCCCCGCCTATTTTGGGGTCACCATCTTGCCTGGCCTCTTAGGGAATATTCCCAGAATATCTGTGGCTTGAGTGGAAGTGGCAGGGGAGGGGGCCAGTTCCCCTTACTGCAGTCTTCCAACCTGCTCCCTCTTTCTGTACTTCTCTCTTGCAGAAACCTGGGCTGGGACCAGAGAAAGCCTGGAAGTGAACAAGGTGCCCATGTGGCCTCTCTGGACCATCCTCCTGCTCATGCAGCTCTGGGGGAGCCTAGGAACCCCCCTCTGCCGGAGGGAGCCTTTCTACTTCCTTGTTGCTATCATGAAGTTGCTGGTGCGGGGCAGGGGCGGGGCAGGAAGGATAGTGAGGGGGTTGGGGGTTGGGTGGGTGGTGTGTTTGAGGAAGGGTCAGGCTCTTTCCCTCCAATATCTGATTCTCCTCCTTATCTGATTCTTCTCCTCCCACAATTGTAGGGAAACAAAAATGATGGTACTCTCTACACCCCAGATGATCTCTCGGTGAGTATTTCATTAGCTCTTCCTGAAGCGGAAGTTTAGGGAGAACCCACTGGGCTCTGTTTGCATGAGTTTTCTGACTGTCTAGCTCCTGCTGTCTGCAGCACCTAGAACAGTGACTGGCACATATTAATAACCACAAATGATGGTGATGTGATGATGATAGTGATCATGCTGATTACAACTGCACTTAAATAGTGCTTACTCCGTGCCAGGTGCTGGTCTAAATGCTTTGACCAATAATAAGTGCCTGCTTATTTACTCTTCACACCAACCCTATAAGATAGACAGGGCCACCATGTATGGATGTGAAGGTTGTACACTGCACAAGGATCCCACATCTACAAAGACAGTGCTGTATTCATATTCTGGATTTTGTACATTTCATGTTTGTCAATTTCCAGCAGATGGCAGTAAAGCATCTTGTTCTAATAAAAGCAGCACTTACAAGTATCTTAAGGAATGATACTAACTTGCCCCCAAGTACAGTATATGGGCTAGTGTCAGCCCTTAAGGTAGGAATTATTTGGAGCCCCATTTTACAGCTGAAGAAACTGAGGCCCAGAGAAATGAAGGGGCTTGTTCCAGGCCAAAGGAAACTGTGGGAGTAGGCATTTGGAATCAGGCCTTTGGTGGGAGACACCAGGTCACAGTCTGTCCCCACAGGTGTGTCCTGCTGAGACTCTAGGCTGCTTCAGGCTGGAGCTGTCTGTGATTGGGTTTGAGGAGGGCCCATCTGTGGGGACTGCTGTGTTCCGGCTACAGCGCCTGCTGGATGCCCTGGGGTCCCGGCTGTGGGTGGCCAGCCAGGGGCCTTGCCTGCCTTGTGAAGGACATCCCCAGAGACCTGTCCCCCTCTTCCTGGCCAAACTCCTGGAGTTATTACAGGGAGCTTGTGCTCGGCACCTTCCCACAGCATGAGCCCTGGAGGACATAGACTCCCAGGTACTCGGGAGAGGCTGGGTAGACAGAGGGGGAGGAAATTTGGTCTCCAGCCCCACCTCCCAAACCCTAAGCCTTCCCTTCCTTCTAGGCCAGAGGACCCCACCTGGAGCCCCAGGAGCCACAAGGGGAAGAGGTAAGAAGGAGGAAAATAAGACGATATCTGAAGTCTCTGTCCTCCTGGGGCAGGGGTTGGATAAATTTCCCCCCACCTGTCCCCATGCTCCATCTTTTTTCAGATACTCCGTCTTCTCTCCTCTTCCAGGAAAGGACAGAGCAGTGCACAGGTGTCCTCTAGCCTCACCCCCATCCCTTGAGGACAGGGAGAGTCCTGTGGCTCACATCCCCCTGGCTGCAAATAATTACCACCTGGAGAACTTTCAAGTAACACTGATTGCCAGACCCCAGCCCAGAGAACTTGATAACCGGTCTCTGGTGGATCCTGAGCATCTATATTTTTAAAATAAACTTTACCGAGGTGTAATTCGCATGCAGTAAAAGGCAGCCATTTTCAGCGTACATTTCAAAGTGTTCTGACAAATGCATACACACTGCCACATTCCCATCACTCCAAAGCATCCTCTCATCTCCCTTCCCAGTCAGCTCCACCTCCAGCCCCAGACTGCCACTAATCTGCTTCCTGTCTGCACAGATTGGTTTTGCTTGCTCTGGAGTTTCCTATGAATGGAATCATACTGCACATACCCCGGTGTCTGGCTTCTTTTCACTCAACATAATGTTTTGGAGCTTCATTCATGTGTGTTATCAGTAGTTTGTCTCTCTCTTTCTCATAACTGTTCCCCCTCTTTCCTGGGGTAAACGCCTTTCTGCGGCAGTGCCCATTAGGCATTTCGTATGTAGAATCCTATTTTAAAGAGCTGTTGTTTAAAGGAGCCAAGCTTATAGAAGGGGAAGCACATTTCTATGGCTTGTCCACCCTTCCCTTATCTATCTTGGGCTCGATTTGGGATTGTTGGGTAGAGAAGTGTGTGCTTATGGGAAGAGGCACCTGTGGTATGTGCTTTCCCTGGTAGCCGAGTGGTGAGCCTCCGCCCCAACCGCACCCTATTCCTCTGTAGCTAAGAAGGTGCATATGAAATGTGTGTAAAGTGGGCGCGGTGGCGCGCGCCTACAGTCCCAGCTGCTCGGGAGGCTGAGGCAGGAGGATCCTTCGAGCCCAGGCGTTGGAGTCCCGCCTGGACGACAAAGGGAAACACCCCCCCCCCCCCCCCCGCCGTCTTAAAAGAAACAAAACAAAAACACATACAGAAACTTCTGTAAATTGAATCCAGGTGTCTCATAGCTTATGTGAGAAATCTTAGCTGTGTTGTAAAAGCTTCTGATTTTTTTTTTTTTTCCATTGCAGCAGGTGAATTTTTCCTCTCTCTGCTGTACATCTGTCCTCTTTGCCGCCGGCCGCTCCGACACATCATTACTGATACATAAATTCAGCTTTCAATGAACTTAGGGAGGCAGGAAAGAAAAACGTGGGCTTCAGGGTCACTCGAACTTGAGTCTTGGGTCTGCCGCTTTTCACGAAGTTTATTCTTCTGAGCTTCAGTGTCCTCTGCAAAGCAGGCATGCCTATCTCCTGGGGGTGTTCTAGAGGGTCTGTGAGATAAAGTCTGATTTATTTGTTATTTTGTTATAATTTGCTAACTCCCTGACTCCTCGTGGCTTGACACACCGCGTTAGTGGTCTGGACTAACGAATAAATGGCTCCGTAAATTCAAACACGAATTCCAGGCTGGAAGAGGCCGGGTCCGCTGGAGAAAGAAACTTTGCCCCGCTGACCTTCGCAAGATGGTGGCTCCACGCACTGCGTC